TATGCGTTTGACAAATTGCCAATGGACCTCCGTGGGTGCATGCATGAACTGACAGGCAATGTTGACAGCGAAGGCAATGTCGGGCCGAGTGAGAGTAAGATACTGCAATGCACCCACAGTACTACGATAAAGTGACGGGTCCGAGAACAGCTTACCACAATGAGAAGATGGAATATCCAAGCCCGCTACACATGGGGTGGTGACAAGCTTCGCATCCTGCATTTTTGCTCGGGCAAGAAAGTCTGCTGCGTATTTTGTCTGGTGAAGAAGAATACCATCCGAAGTGCGTTTTAGTTCGATCGCAAGAAAATAATGAAGTTCACCCAAGTCTTTGATAGCAAATTCCTTTTGTAGAGACTGCAGGAGAGTAGACAATGGAGCTGTAGGGGATCCCGTAATAATGATGTCGTCGACATAGACGAGCAGGAAGATACTGTATTGGGTTGTATGCAGTATAAACAGTGAGGAGTCAGCAGTAGAAGCTACAAAACCTATGGAGACAAGAAAATTACTGAGACGTTGGTGCCAGACACGTGGAGCTTGTTTTAAGCCATAGAGAGATCGTTTTAGGCGGTAGATATGATGAGGATGGTGGGGATCAACGAAACCTGGTGGTTGATCCATGAATATTTCTTCGGTGAGATGACCATGGAGAAAAGCATTCTTGACATCTAGTTGTCGGAGTTGCCAACCCCAAGAAAATGCAACTGAGAGGATTGTGCGAACTGTGGCATGTTTCACCACCGGACTGAAGGTTTCATTATAGTCGATTCCCTGCTGTTGATGAAAGCCCTTTGCGACTAATCTGGCCTTGTACCGTTCAACAGAGCCATCTGCACGAAGCTTGACACGAAAGACCCATTTGCAGCCAATGGGTTTACCGTGCTGAGGAGATGGTACAAGCTCCCATGTTTGATTTTTCAGCAATGCGGTGTACTCTTCGGCCATAGCTGCCCGCCAATGCGGGTCTTTTACCGCCTGACTATAACAAGATGGTGTAGATGGGACGGCTACCGAAGTGGTGAGTGCATAGGTGTGATCCTTTTGCACATGTCGGCGGGGAACGGTGCCGTCTCGAAGTCTGGTCACCATGGGGTGGGCTAGTGGCGCCGGTTGTGGTGGCGGATTGGTAGCCTGGTGGATTGTGGTTTGTGTGATAGCTTCAGTGGTAGGAGATGGCACTTCTGGTTGTAGTTGAAGAGATATTGAGCGGGAGGTGGTGGGATTGCCGTGCACAGGTGTCAACATGTGGGATGCATCAGTCCTCGGCTCCTGCATATGTGAATCATCAGGTTGCAAATGCGTCGGTGGGGGAACATAAAGGGGTAACTCCAATGATGCTGGTGGGGACACATTTGATGATACGTCGGTGACGGGAGCAGCAAACGGAAAAACGGTCTCATCAAAGATGGCATCTGCAACTGTATAGAACTGTTGTTATTGTGGAGAATAGCAGCGATAGCCCTTGACACCTGAGGGATATCCCAAGAAAATACATCGATGTGACCTGGGCTCTAGTTTGTGCTTGGCATAGGTTCGTAGGTTCGGGTACACAGCACAGCCAAAAACCCGAAGATGCTCAATGGATGGTGCGGTAGAAAAAAGTACTTCCCAAGGGTTGCGCTGCTGCAAAGCGGGAGTAGGCAGTCGGTTGATAATGTGAACTGCACTTTCAAAAGCAAAATCCCAAAAATGAGAGGGAACAAATGCATGGTGCATCATGGCCAGACCCATTTCAACCACATGTCTGTGTTTGCGCTCGGTCGAACCGTTTTGAAGGGCCAAGCGAGGATAGGATGTCCGTTTATAAATGCCACGCTCCTGCAATAATTTTTTAAAAGATGCGGAAAGAAACTCTCCGGCACAGTCACTTTGGATGGCTTTAACTCGGGTATTGAGCTGGTTTTCAACAAAGTTTACAAAGACCACGAAGATATGTAAAAATTGATCACGAGAGTTGAACATATAAAGCCAAGAAAATTTGGAGTAATCGTCAATAAAACAAATATAATATTTATTATTTTGATGAGACGTTACATGAGCTGGCCCCCAAATGTCAAAATGAACTAATTCTAGGGGAGCTTTAGATCTATGAAAAGTGGGAGGATGAGGATGACGATGAATCTTACTAGAGGCACATGCCGAGCAAGTTGATTGAACAACTAACGACTTATTTAACATGCGAGAAATAGTAGAATATGCAACATGGCCCAAACGATGGTGCCAACGGACAAGGGAGCTGGACTGAGATAGGTAATAAGCTGAAGGAGAAAGCTTCGACTGATCCGACAGTTGATAGAGTCCCTGATTAAGGTTCCCTTGGAAGAGAATCTTGCCCGTACAGCGGCACTTCACAGAAAAACAATTAGGTGAGAAAATGAAATCACAATTGTTTTCCAGTGAAAATTGACGAACGGAAAGTAAGTTTTTCTTTATAGAGGGAACAATTAGGACATTAGACAAACGAAAATTTTGAGAACCAAGAGTACCGGTATGGGTTATCGGGAGGCTAGACCCATTACCTATGGTAACGTGTTGGTTGCCTATGTAGGGCTGAAGAGAGGACAATTGAGATGGATTATTTGTGACGTGGTGTGTGGCACCAGAATCTAGATACCACGGGTCCGAAAAGATTGATGGTGGTGGTGGAATTTCAGCAATGTGGAGCTGTGGTGCCGAGCCTAAAGATTGTGGTGGAGGCCCACGATCACGGCACACATTGGCTCGGTGGCCAAAGCGATTGCAGAGTTGACATCGAACACTACCCCTCCTTTGATTTCTGTAATTGCCTGCATTTGGAGAGTAATTTGGGGCTGAATTTCGAGGGCCAAAGTGCTGTCCACTTTGCGGAAATTGTTGCCCAGGCCGTGGTGACCTATCCACACGAGAAGGAAGCTGTTGAGGTGCTTGGTGTGCTGTCCGTGTCATGAACGCTGCTGCAGGGGAGGTGATGGGCTCAAGCAAATCAAGTCGTGCCTCATGAGCCAAGAGCAGCCCGTGTAGAGACTCACGTGTAAGGGATTGGTACTGACTTTGAACGGAGATTGACACTGCTAAATTTTGATATTCCGCTCCGAGTTCCCTGAACAGATGAGTTTGATATTTTTGTGAAGAGATGTTCTCACCAATCGAGGCAAGTTGATCAACAAGGAAGGCTGCTTGCTGTAGATATTCCGTGATTGTTTGATTTCCCTTGCGGAGAGTCTGAAGTTGCATTCGTAGATGTGTGGCGCGAGCATTGTTACGTGCTTCATATGATTGAGCCAAGAAAGACCATACGGCTGCTGAAGAGCCTAAATTGGAGAGCTGTGCAACGATGTTGTCAGCTGTGGAATTGAGAATCCAATCCAAGGCAATTTGATCTCGGGTAAACCATGTTTCATATGCTGGATTTGGTGAACTTTGGTGACACCATTCTCACTAATTTCAGTGATAGTGTGTGGAGGGCATGGTTCGGTTCCGTCCACAATTGACAGGAGTCGACTAGCCCGGAGAAAGGGGAGGAGGCGTATCTTCCATATGATGTAATTGTCTCCGGTTAATTTGATACCAACCGTAGGACATGTGATTGATCCAGATGAGCCCCCTGTGGGAGGGATGAGAGGACATGGTGGGATAGCATTCTTGATGAGGTCAGTTGGATTAGCAACACTTGGGATTGGGTTGCTTATTGTTTGATTGCTAGCTACTGCGTTTGGGGAAGATGGGGATGAATTTGAATCTGATTGGTTTGCCATTTATGCTTTCGCAAGATATGGCTCTGATACCATGTTAAAGTAATGAACTAACAAGATGAGAATGGGTGGCAATTACCAATAAGTGCTTTGTGTTTCAGTAATAGAATTTTTTTGTTACATTCTTCAGCTACGCATTGTGATGTCTTTATATAATACAAGCTAGGGTTACGGAATTAATGAAGAATAAAATCATGATCTATTCTCTTTGGAAAGAATTGATCTTGCTTGATAAGCAAGTGGTGAAGAGATTGTAGCTGAATCAAGACATGTCATCGTGATCTTTTCTTTTTGGAAAGAATTGATCTTGCGTGATGAGCGAGTGGTGGAGAGATTGTAGCTGAATCAGGACACGTTATTGTTTCCTTTGACAGGTTAAACTATCGAAAGATTTAGAGCCCAATTGCATTTTTTTTCGTATAAAATTTCAGACACGGCAATTTTTTTTCCTCTCGCATTCCGTATGTCGTGCCATATTAAATTCGAGTATTCATCGACCGCAGTTTTTGGTTGCCTTTATTTCTATTTTAATAAATGTCGCAAGAGGAGAGAATGAGAGAGGCAGATGCTGCATCACGCGCATATAATGTAGGTGGGGCCGACTAGCAAAACGGCACCGTCCTGGGCAAACCGTAACGGTGCAAGCTGGACCGCATGTTTTATTTAGCAAAGGATGGACAACCGGATGTAGGGGTGTAAATGGTTCGGTTCGGTTCGGTTTTTCAAGAAAACCGAACCGAACCGAACCATTAAGGTGCCCCTTGAACCGAACCGAATTTGAACCGAACCGAATTGGCGAACCGAAAAATCGATTTGGTTCGGATCGTTCGGTTTCAAGTTCATTAAGCAGAGAGAGAGAGAGAGAGAGAGAGAGAGAGAAGGGGAGAGAGAGGGCAAAATAGCCCTAAACCGAAGTGTTTATTTTAGTTCGGTTCGATCCAAACCGATCCGAACCAAATCGAAATAAACTGAACCGAAAAGAAAAATTGGTTTATTTTGATGATCCGAACCGAAACTGAAACCGAACCGAAATGCATGAAATTTTCGGTTCGGTTCGGTTCGTATCTCAATTCAATTTTTCGGTTCGGTTCTGACACCCCTAACCGGATGGGCAACCCGAGTGGAGAGAAAATATTCGGGGTACGTGTTGAATTTACTTAGGCCCACTTATCAGTTGCCACGTGTACAGGACTGGCCCCACTTCTGATTCCATCTTCTTTTGACTCACTCTTCACCGCTCCCGCTCCCGCTCCCGCTACTCTCTCTTCTCTCCCTTTGATTTCTTCTTCCTCCTCTGCTTGATGGATCTTACCTCCAGCAAGGGCGGCAACATCCTCAGTTCCTCCAGCGACTAATGGCAACTGGGCCTCTGTCCTCTCCGCCATCGACCCCTCGAGTGCTCCCCCCCGTCGTCTGCGCCATCCTCTTCGTCCCCGCCATCACCAACGCTGCCGTCTCCTCTACAACGTCACAGCCCTCAACGCCTCGTCCTCTCGCAACTCAAGCTCTTGAGCACAGGCCCGCCTCGCCTGTCGACCCTCCTCCTGCCCACAACTCTACCCCTCGAATGCTCCCCGTCCTCGTGCCCCACCTCTTCTCCTTCCGACGCCATCGCCGTGCACACCATCGCCCGGATCCTCGATTACTCGGTCTCGGCTTTGAGGAAATTACTGGCCAAGCGCTCCTTTTCTCCATTAATTTTTGCTGTTCTTTTTCCGAGTTCTTGTCGAGCTATTCAAGCCAGGGGAAATACATATGATTTTTCTTTCTTTCTTTCTGTAAATTCTGAGATCATACAAAAGTCTATTAGAATACGATTTTTCGAGTTGGGAGATCAACAAGGAAAGAAGCTGTGTTTTTTTTTTTTTTTTTTCTGAGTTCGTTGGCATATGATTGAAATAAAAAAAGGCGAGCGGGAGTGTGTTTCTTCTTCTTGGTCAGTTAAGAATAGTTTCATTTGTTGCGACTGGACTCGAGATCTCTGTTCTGTGTTCTCCGTTTTTCATTCATTCATTTCTTTAATTTCCATAGAGAGAAGAGAAAAGGAGCAGCGGGAATGGAACAGAGCAGAGCGAGCGTCAGACGTGGGGGGCTCCCAATATCTTTTCACCGAGGGGGGGATCCTTCTTAATATTCCAGGGAGACCGGACAAGCAAGTTGTCCGGTTTCCTTGGCAAAATATGTGGTGCAGACTCTGCACCGTCGCTCTTGAAAGAGGATGACTCGACATTTCTGTTTTTCTGTTTTCGTTCCTCCTCTCTTCCCTTTCTCGATCTTCTCTCTGCTCAAAGCTTCGTTGCAGGCCATGGTGTCACTCTGCAGTCTCCCCTCTTTCTTTCTTTCTTTCTTTCTTTTGTTTTTCTGTGGCATTTCTCAAACTTCATTGACGCTCGTCAAGCTCAAGATTATGATTATCCAACCGCTACGCTTTCAACACGGTGGACGAGTATCGTAACAGGTACTCACTTCACCCTTATAAATGCAGATGGATTGATCGACCTGTAAACTTTTCGATTTGGTCCGATCAATTTCTAAACCTTCTACAAAGAGAAAAGTTCAACAAAATTCTCCCACCGGAAATTTGCCTTAGTTGCTATCAAAAATCGCTCTAGCGCACGCGGGACGAATCAAATGAGTAATATAACCAAAAGAATTTCCCAATGCCCTTTTCCGTAGAAAATTCAAGACACCGCCAAATCATCAAAAGATTTAGAGTCTGATTGCATTTTTTTCGTATAAAATTTAGGACACGGCAATTTTTTTTCCACTCGCATTCCGTCGTGTCGAATCAAATTCGAGTATTCATTGACCAGAGTCTTTGGGTGCCTTTTTTTTTTCTATTTTAATAAATGTCAGCTGCGGAAAAGGGGGACGTGAAAATAAAAGCACCGATTGCCTTTGGCCTTTCTTCTTTGCTTTGCAGGACTTGAGCGCGTTCCATTTCCACGCGCATTATTGAGGACTTCCCATGCAATGTTTCAGTTTTGCTTACTTTTTGACTCAGAGGCGACTTTTTAATTCTTCATCTTCATCTTCATCTTCGTTCCCCCTCTCTTCCCTTTCTGGATCTCCTCTCTGCTCAAAACTTCACAGAAAGCCATGGTTTCACTCTGCAGTCTCCCCTCTTTCTTTGTTTCTTTTTCCTTCGTTTTTCTATCGCATTTCTCAAGCTTCATTGACGCACGTCAAGCTCTAGATTATGGTTATCCAAACGCTACGCTTTCAACACGGTGGACGATTAACGGAACAGCTCGTCACTTGACCCGGTTTTCAGATGGATCGATCGCGCAGCCAATTCTTCTCGGAGGCAAAGGAGCTCCTGGCCCTGCCTACGCCTGCGGCTTCTACTGTAATGGTGACTGCAACACTTAACTCTTTGCTGTTTTCATCGTCGGAGTTAACAGTTATGGGCCTTATGGCTTCATTGATGAGTACTTACAACCACAAGTAGTGTGGTCTGCCAATCGAAATGATCCCGTAAAGATTGGCGCGATGTTGGAGCTCACGTCCAAAGGGGATTTGGTGTTGAAAGATGCCGATGGTACGGTTGCTTGGTCCACAAACACTTCTGCGAAGTCCGTTGTAGGCTTGAACTTGACAGATTTGGGGAACCTCGTGCTGTTTGATAAGGACAATGCGATTGTCTGGCAGTCTTTTGACGAGCCAACCGACTCACTTGTCCTAGGACAAAAGTTGAGGCATGGGCAAAGACTGATGTCGTGTATTGCCGATACAAATTGGACAGTTGACGGTATGATTACGCTTTCCGTGAATGGCTTATTTTTATCTGCTCAAGTGGAGACTAATCCTCCTCAGGTCTATTTCAAGTATAGTGTTCCAATTTGGAATGCCGGTATCGAGTTTGTAAATGGAAGCTTGTCTTGGTTCTCAGATACTACCGGGAATGGGACACTGTTTTTAGTCCCTCAAGCATCTTCTGCGCAATACATGAAGCTGGGCTCGGATGGGCATTTGAGATTGTATGACTATGGAAATGGGTGGGAAGAAGTGGCTGATCTTTTCAAAGAGGATGTCGAGGACTGTAGCTATCCGACTGCGTGTGGGAGATATGGAATATGCTCCAATGGGCAATGTAGTTGTCCAGCTTCAAGTGGGGGAACGAGCTATTTCCAGCAAGTAGATGATAGGCACCCCAATCTTGGGTGTTCTGAGAATGTTCCATTGTCTTGTGGGGCTTCACAACATCAAAGTCTTCTAGAGCTCAAAAATGTCACGTATTTTAGTCTCACTCCAGATCTCAAGGACATAGATGCTTCAAGTTGTAAAGAGACTTGCGCAAAGAACTGTTCATGCAAAGCAGCTATATTCCGGTATTATTCGAATCGCACTAGCGGCGCGTGTTACTTACCAACTCAGGTGTTTTCACTTATGAACATTGACAAGGAAAAGTTTTTCTATAATTCTACTGCTTACCTTAAAGTACAAAACAGGGCCAATGAAGCTCCTCATACTCCTTCGGTTGACAATCGTATGAGCAACCGTCTCCCTGTAATACTTGGGTCTAGCCTTGGAGCTCTCTTTGCCATGATGATTTTCATCGTAGCCATAGTTTTGTTTGTTCAAAAGAGAGATGATAATCAAGCAGAGGAGGATTACCTTGATCAAGTACCAGGAATGCCCAATAGATTCACGTACGATGATCTGAAAACAATCACAGGCGAATTCAGTAAAAAGCTTGGCGAAGGTGGTTTTGGTTCTGTTTTCGAAGGTACTCTAAGCGACGGATCAAAAGTCGCCGTAAAACGCCTTGATGGTTTTGGGCACATTAAGAAATCCTTTCTAGCCGAAGTTGAGACTATCGGCAGCATCCATCACGTGAACTTGGTAAGACTTGTGGGATTTTGCGCTGAGAAATCCCACAGGCTCCTTATCTACGAGTACATGTCGAATGGGTCTCTAGATAGATGGATCTTTCGCAAATCCAATGAATGTGTTCTCGACTGGCAACAAAGGAAGAAGATCATTCTCGATATAGCAAAAGGACTGAATTATCTTCATGAAGATTGCAGACAGAAGATAGTTCACTTAGACATTAAACCCCAAAATATCCTTTTGGATGGGAATTTCAATGCGAAGGTTGCTGATTTTGGATTATCGAAGCTGATGGGCAAGGACCAAAGCCAAGTCGTCACAACCATGAGAGGAACTCCCGGTTATTTGGCCCCCGAGTGGCTACGTGCAGCAATCACTGAAAAGGTAGATGTGTATAGCTTTGGCGTGGTAATCTTGGAGATAGTGTGTGGGAGAAAAATCTTCAATTGCTCTCTTGATCCAGAAAATGAGCATTTACTGAGCCTTTTTAAGAGAAAGGCGGAAGAGGAACAACTCTTGGACATTGTGGATAAGTCTAGCGATGACATGCAACTAAATGGACTGCAGGTGGTGAATATGATGAGGATTGCTGCATGGTGCTTGCAAGGAGACTATACAAAGAGGCCCTCCATGTCTATGGTCGTCAAGGTGTTAGAGGGCGTTGCGGAAGTTCAAGAAGACCTGGATTACGACTTCTATGCTCAACCTTCCACTGATAGAGTAGCAAGATTCGGTCAGATGGACATCGAATTTGGTGCCACCACTGCATTACTACCCTCAATCCTAAGCGGTCCACGATGACGTGACTAATTAATGAGAACTTTTCTTCCCAATATGTCAACCGGTAAAATGTGCAGGCAATTGACTTTTTCAGATTGTGAGGACTTCGGATTGTCATTCTCCTTTTAGGTCTAGAAAATAGCCCGTGGCATGATATCAATTCTCTTTCACTTTGCAAATGAGTGGACTTTGCCATAACTTAGCAACTGATTGACTTGGTTAGGATATTGCATTCAGGTTATATTGCTTATGCAGAAACCAGTCGCGCTCTAGTTTGTTGTGTCTAGGGAAAGAAGGAACCTGTTGAGTTCTTTATGTAAAAATTTACTAAGAGATCCAAATCTGATTTGCTTTTTGGTTCCAACACCTGATGTCCTTCGGATTCAATGACTCTTCATTTCATGCCTTCCTCATTTTGAGCTTAATGGGCTATTTTAGTCGGTTCTGTGAATTCACGGTTACAATTGATAAAGATGACTGGAGAAGTTCATCGTTGGTAAGTTCGGATTTTTCCTAGAGACTCCTGATATATCCTAAGGTTAATAATCTTAACTTTCAGCTTCTTAATGATCCGTCTTAGTTGATCCAAGGCATATGTTTGCCAACAATAAAGAACCGAGATGTTTGGGCATTCAAGATTCAACTTTACGATCTTTAAATGACACCGATCATTCTCAATAACCTCGGCTTTTCCACCGTCCTTAATCGACATTAATCCAAGCATGCTGATCCATCGAATTTAATCGGGGATAAGAAGCTTGTTCGGGTCTTGTTCGCGAGTCACAACTAACGAAAGTTTCAAAGCGATCTGACGTGGCCCCCGCCGCCATGCCGTGGCACCTCTCGATTGGATCCGATCACGGCAGATCAACAAACCAGAGCCCACGTGGAGCTCACCCATAGGCCCGAGCTACGTGTAACCTCTCGCGAAGAAGTCCTCCCTCTTCCCGGCACAACTCACTAGCCACGGAACTATTTCTTCTTCTTCCTCTTCTTCTCCTTCTTCCAAATTCCTCTGTGCTCTGTGCCCTGTGCCCTTCGCCTTCTCCTGTAACGCTACATCGCGTAGAGAAGCGATAATCTGGCGATGAATCTGTCCATCTTCTCCTCGGCCGTGGAAGGCATCGCGTGGAGGGGATGGCTTTACACGGTGTTCATCCTGCACTTCGTGTTCGCTTGCCAGTTTCTCCTCCTTCAGCCCCTCGTCTCCGCCCTGGGTACGTCGTTCTCTCTCGCCTTAGATCTGCCAACTCGTCGTCGGACCGAGATTTCGAGGGGTTGTGGCGTGCTCTGATTGCTTGCGTCTTGAGTCACCGATTGGAGAGCGGCGATGAATTGGCGGATCTTTTCTTAGGGATCCTCTCGGATATTTGAGATTAGGCAGGATTTCTGTGCAGGAAGGCGATATGAGATGGACTGAAGAGTCTTGAAATGTCTATGCTGGATTAAAAATCTAGTTTTTTCGTAGGGATATTTGGCTTTTATATATGATGCATATGTTGCGCGATTGATGAATTCGCCACCAGTGTGGGGACCGGGGAGTTTTATCTGATTCTAGTTCATTGTCCTGAGGGTGGCGGCATTGTGGGCCTTTCCATGGGTCGAGATTGTAAGATTGTAGAGCAGTTCATGGGGGGGTTGATGTGTGTCCGTGGTGAGGTTAAAAGGGTTTCGAGCAATGAAGTACTTTCTAAGCTGCTCATGCTCATGATTGCCAATAGTCGCCGCATCAGTTTCTTCGCGGATGTTGTGGATAGCAAATGGGCATTAGTCTAAGAAACCTGTATGGTAGCTTAAGACTTACTACCATTCTTTGGTGTGCTTTGTCTGAAATATCTTGTCTGTAAATGGTGTGTTATGTCCAAGCAGAAAACCGGTTTAGTGGTGAAAGTAATTCCTGGCACTTTAGTAGATGTGTAATGGAAAGCTTCACGACTGTAGGTTTTTGCCAACCAAATTAGAAGGATAGTTCTCGTTAATGTTTGCAGAATGCTTTAGATTATATTTCGGAAATTAATCGCTGGCTCACAAGTTTCTTTGGATTTTTTTATTTTTTTTTGGTACTGGGATGCGCAGATGGACAAGCTGATGCTGCTGAGTTACTTGATAGGGCATCACATAGTATCAAGGTGAAACGTTATAATGAGGCACTTGATGATCTTAATGCTGCCATAGAGGCAGATCCAAAACTTTCTGAAGCGTATCTTCATCGAGCCTCCACTCTTCGGCAGCTATGCAGGTTCTCTTCTTATTTGTGTTTCTGCCTCCGTATTTTGGTTTCAAAATAGAACTCTCTGTCCTATTTTGAGCTCATGGTATTGAATGTTTCTTTAACTGTTGTCGTGATGCCTTCTTTTTTATATTAAGTTACATGTTCATGTGATATATGTTGGCAATTTGAGTTATTCAGACATCCAAGCATAATTGAACATATTGGATGGAAAAATCAGGTTCTGGTTATAGTTCCTGTTGTGAAATATTCTACAATAAGGCATCACTCATAATGCTGTTTGTTGCATTTGAATGGACAAATTAAAACTTTAACTGATCAGCTCTACTTTGGCTCTGCTTGATACAACTTAATTAAGAATTTTTAAGCGGAATTTTTAACTAGTGAAGAATATAATTGCTGAAATATTTGTACAGGACATTATTATCGAGTAGGTGTTGATATAGGATTGTGCTTACTAAAATAAGCATCAAAACGGAGGTCATATTTATCCATGGTTATTGCAGTCGCCATCACTACCACTCTACAATTATGATCACTATGTTCACCTTCACCGCTATCTCATACAAGAAACTACCGTTATCATAATAATTATCTTGACCGCCAGTCCCCAGCGATTGTCATATTTATCCATGGTTATTGCAGTCGTCATCACTACCACTCTACAATCATGATCACTATGTTCGCCTTCACCGCTATCTCATACAAGAAACTACCGTTATCATAATAATTATATTGACCGCCAGTCCCCAGCGATTGCCATTGTCACCTCGTTGCTGCCACTGCCATCCTGCCACCGCAGTACCTCCACCTTTACCACCCCCTCATGCACCACTACAATCACCACCATCATTCACCCATCACCTCAACCACTGTCGCTACCGACCATTACCTAGCGTTACCATCACCACCACTGTATGTCCACCATTCTGTTGTCACCAATTCCACTCAACTACATGTGGTCCGTTTTCTACTAACATTGACACATCATTCACAATATTATGTAGGTACCCATTGACTTAAGCAATTAAGTGATTTTTGGCTTAACTTAATCAACTGAGTTCCATGAGGCATTAAATGACTAAAAATTTTCAGCTCTTAATGAAGTTATTAAACACACCCTTGGACTTGTGGACAATATAACCAGAGTGCCTAGTCTGTACCCTGAGGCAACATGGTTTCCTCCAAACAAGTTCGGATCTCCATGTTTGGTTAGATGATTTTCGATGTTGTGAATTGTGATCACTATATTCTTCTTATGTTTTTCTGAGGATGTCCAATCTCACAGGATAGTTATTTTGTCAAATTAGAGAAATATATTATCAGTTAAAGTTACAGAAGAATATGAACTGCTAGTGAGACTACTTCTGCTATATGATTATGGGAACTAATCATATTCAGTGACATGGAACTTGATGCTGCTGTTGGATCGTTTCATGTCCTTGCCTCTGATTGAAAATATAAATTGAGACGGCTGTCATGGAAATAGGAGGAAGTTTATACGTTCACTTGTGTCTTCATCACACGAAGAGGAACTGCACCCTCCTCCTATTTCTGATTGGAGTACTAATTATGATTCAGGCAATTTTTGGCTGATGTAGATACCAGGAGTCAGAATCGAGCTACAGAAAGTTTTTGGAGTTAAAACCTGGAAATAAAGCTGCAGAAAAGGAACTCTCTCAACTGCTTCAGGCACGGAGTGCTCTCGAATCAGCAATTTCTCTCCTTGATTCAGGAGAATATACTAAAGCTTTGGAATATGTTGAAAAGATTGTACTCGTCTTTTCTCCAGCCTGCTCAATGGTAGGATCATGATCCATTTACTTGTTTTAGACTCAAAGACGATGGCAGTATGAGATTGCCTTCTGATCCGGCTGACTTTTGGTCACTGTATGCAAGTCCTTTTTAGTCATTGAGTATTCCCTAAAAAATATATCTTCTATTGTATTTCCAGGCCAAACTTTTGAAAGTGAAGTTGTTGTTGGCAACTAAAGACTATTCCAGTGCCATTGCTGAGTCTGGATATATTCTCAAGGAAGATGAGAACAATTTAGAGGCGTTATTGCTTCGTGGCCGTGCCTACTATTATTTGGCAGATCACGACGTGGCTATGAGGTAGAGTTATTTACACAGGGTATCGAGTTTTAAGGATCTGTAGTCATTTAGCATTGACTTATGTTCTTTATCAGGCATTATCAGAAAGGTCTCCGCCTGGACCCTGAGCATGCTGACTTGAAGAAAGCATATTTTGGGTTGAAAAATTTGCTCAAGAAGACTAAGAGTGTGAGTTCATCGAACTTGCAACCATTTAGTTATGTAGGGTCTGTTGTGTAGTTTTTGTGGGATTGTCACTGGATGTCGTTATTTCAGTTGAACCTTTTAGATTTCATCAAGATGATCGGTTCTTTCATTTACTGAGCTTTCATTTGTTTTATTCAGGCAGAAGATAATCTCAACAAGGGTAAATTGCGACTTGCAGTAGAGGATTATAAAGGAGCTATTGCTTTGGACCCCGATCATCACGCCCACAATGTACACCTCCATCTTGGTTTGTGCAAGGTATCGGTGAAGCTTGGTCGGGGAAAGGAAGCTTTGACCAGTTGTACTGAAGCACTTGACATTGATGGAGATCTTACTGAAGCTTTAGTCCAGGTATGCTGTTGGTTTTTTCTTTCGCACTTACGTCATCATGAAACTGTGATGACCTCTATATATATCTATAATGCATACTTATGAGTTTTTAATATGTTTCTAGAGAGGCGAGGCAAAACTTCTAACTGAAGACTGGGAAGGTGCTGTGGATGATCTAAAGTCGGCAGCTCAAAAGTCACCTCAGGTTAGTCGTGCAATCTCTGTTGTTGATTGAAGGTTTCCATGTGGATTATATTAAGTAGGCCCAGAACTGCAAATACCAGAAGCGTCTTCTACCAAAGGAAAATATGTAAACAAACTTTAAGGTTACGGTTGTGTTCTTCAGAATATATGGCTAGAGAATATAAGCCCCCTTACTGTCGGGACATGCATTTTTTAGCCTCTTTTCCAGAGCCACATAAGTTTGGGCTTTTGTTATCCTCATATGTATAATGAAGCATGTTCTGGTGTTCTGGACGTGAAAATTGCAAATCAATGCTGCAACTTTGGGCTCATTGAACTTTGTGGGGAAACAATCATTCTTACTGCTCATATCTTACTTTCTTTGTTGATATTGTGTAAGGAGATCAGATCTTTTCGTCCCTAAATATAATACAATCCCGTCTGCCTGCTAACATCAGCAGAGCGGAGATTGAAAATGGAACTCTTCTTTTGAGAGGTAATCTTAATGCAGCAGTGACCTTGTCTTCAAGTAAAATGCTTTTGTCTTTTATTAACTGTTAAATTGAGATTGATTGAATGCATCTCTGATGGCCAATTAGATTCGTTCCCCTTAATGAGGGGGTAAGGTGATAATGTTGGAATTAGTCTAGAACTAACTTTTGTTTGCATTCATTTTATTGTGTACCAAGATCTGACAGATAAAGCCTCAATCTTGAACTTGTGCTTTGCCGTGAAAGAACTCTTAACTGCTGAAACTGCAGGATATGGCTGTTCGTGAAGCACTTATGAGAGCTGAGAAAGCATTGAAGATGAGCAAACGGAAGGACTGGTACAAGATTTTAGGAATTTCAAAGACTGCATCAATTGCTGAGATCAAGCGTGCCTATAAAAAGCTTGCTTTACAGTGGCATCCTGACAAGAACGTGGACAATAGAGATGAGGCAGAGAACAAGTTCCAAGAAATCGCAGCTGCATATGAGGTTAGAATCATCATATCAAGCACTACTTTTAAGTTAGTGGTTTGCAGATCTTCAACTCAAAGATAGTTCCGAAATGGGATCAGGATAGAGAGGTTGACTCAGTTATTGGCGTTCACAGGTGCTCAGTGATGAAGAAAAGCGGACAAGATATGACAGAGGTGAAGACATTGACGAAATGGCCATGGGAGGTGGCGGCGGCGGCGGTTTCAACCCGTTTGGCGGCGGGGGACAGCAATTCACTTTCACCTTCGACGGTGGTTTTCCTGGTGGCTTTGGTGGCCACCAAGGTGGAGGCTTTCCTGGCGGGTTTGAGTTCCATTTTTGATTCAGTTGAAACGCGGGGATCTCGACACGCGGGATGTAGACAAATTGAATGCATTTTGGCGACCCAAAACACCAGTTGACTAATTTCTGGTAGGTGCTCGGTATATAGTTTAGGTCCATTGGGGAAGATTGATGACAATCGAAAATGTAGTCTTCGAGAAAGTGTTGCTTTGCGGGACATTATAGATGGAAAGTGTACGAGTTCCTTAGTGAAATTCAAATTCGATCGTTGAAGGAAATGGACTGCTCCCCCATTGAAATTACTGAGAAGCAAAGTCACAGTTCCCGTGTTACGGCCTCTTGACCAGTCTTAAAATGCCAACATATCGTCCGGTTTGCTGTAAAGCGTAAACAAGGATAACAACATGATTTTGTCTGGAAGGTTAAATGCACGTCTGACTTGGATGACGATGAACTTGAAACGACTTTGTTGCATCAATTGAAATTGGACCAGATTCAGATATCAACGGTGACAGGAACTCACGTTAGTTAGAAAAGTATGACTTGATCCACCGACTTTCGGTAAAAGCATCACCAGATGTTATCTACGAAAGTCTTGGTCCGACGCAGACAGGAGAGATCCGAACGTTATCAATGTTATCTACGAAAGTCCTGCCCTGGTTACGCAATCTCATTGCGATGGCGATTGTAGTGGCATCGACCATTGACGGTGGCCGCCCCTGATACATGCTCTTCTTCTTTTATATATTTATTAGTATCCATGGCACATATTCTTTAAGTGTGAAAATATTGCGACGCAAGCGATCCGATCCCCAATCAACCATTAATTTGAGTGAGTAGATGGCAGTAATCCCGGTCGGGCCATAATAAAGTTATTCGTTGTAAATCTCCTGATCTTGGCGTGACTGACCCGCCTTTTGACCACACTAAAGAGAAGAAGTCGGTGTGGCACACAGAGATTGGACTACCATCGACTAGTATGCTGAAACAAAAAAAAAGCTGCCTTTGGAACACACATTCTCATTGTCTTGGAAATAGGGTTTTGGTAACAAGATCGCGCTTCTCGGCACTGGTTATGGCACGAGATGATACGACTTTGCTGCCGCGCGATGCGTCTTTCTCGCTTGCATCTTGTGCCGTACGGACTGAATTTCTCCTGGGGTTTCTATCTTTAAATCAAACATCGATGAGTACGTTCAGTTCACATCTTTTCGGTCTACGTTGGACAAGGACTTTCATTGATAACATCGGGGTGACGCTTTTACCAATTTGTTCCTTCTAATGACTTTAAGCACTTGTAACGGTATGTTCTCTTCTTTTCATTTTATCTTTGCCTTAACTTTCAACACTAGTGTTTGGCAGCAACCCTCAGAAAAATGTATCAAGCCATACATTTTCTAGAAGTGTGACGCGGATATTATCATGATTCGATATGCAAGGCTCTTTTTATTTTAGAGAAAAAAATGCTTTTGCAAAGATTTTCTTAAAAATAATCACTTGTATATCGCCTAGTTAATGTTATTGACAACAATTTGTGTCTAAACATTTTCGTGGACGATAAACATATTATCTGTTGTATTATTTTTGTAAGGAGTACGAACGATCATTTATAAAGAAAATATTGTTTAAATTATTAATTTTTCACGAAACAAATGAAACCTGGTGGACCGATTACATCTTCACTAGACCTCCTTCCCCATATAGTGAAAAAGATGCAATTTTCAAGCTTGGACTTTCCTCGTAACCAATGCTTCAAAAATTAGATCTTCCTTGTTAAGTTAATAAGCGCCCCGAGGTCGTACCCAGTGGACCGATCGTGTGTTTAAATGACCAAGATCTTATGCCTCAAGAAGCTTAAGGCCTCGAATTTCGATTCATACTCAAAGCAATCGCTCGCACCTCAATTGGTAGCCTTGGTAAGTTACTATATTCCGTGTTTGGTACCATGCTCTAAACGGGATAAAAACGCATAAGGTGGGTAAAAATCCCGAATAAAGTACTCGAAAGTAGATTGAAGAGAGTAAGGAATGACAATCTTTCCATCAGGAGTACACGGTCGATGTACACAGTTGATGTACGCTCTATTTTTTATTTATAAATTTGATCAATTAATTAATTTATTTTTATCTAATCCTAACCTGGCTTAGTCGGACAATTATTAACATCTATACCGATATCCATCATCATATTCGGTATCACCCCTAGATTTATCAAAATCTTATGCTATTTTATCCCGTTCTAATCTGGACGAACGAATGCAGCATTAGCGATTCCCTCGCAAATCTCCTGGCATCGGCACAAATGACCTGCCTTTTGTCCTCGTCGAGTAGAGGAATTTAGAATGACGGCACGATAACCGGCCTACTGCGGTGCCGAAAAAGGGAAAGCGCCTTCAGAACACACATGGCCAATCGCCTTGAATGCGCTCAGGCCGTGATAAGGTTTTAGCCAGTAGGATCGCACTTCTCAGTAGCGGTCACGGCACGGATCGGGTAAAATCCCGTTTTGGATTCGGAACTCTTCTGACAACGTTCTCGGGGGTCGCCGTCGTCGTCGATGCCGATCGCCCCCCCGTCCCCCGTCCCCCATTTTCAATTTTATTTCATTTTTTATTTTTGGGGTCATAGAAGCACCTTCAATCCCAAGGTACGTACGTCGTCCGCAAGGAAACCCTCCGGAGGGAGGGAGTCCCGATCCCTCGACGCCACCAATTCCTAGGCAAATAAAAAAGCAACTTCGGCTTTATCTAACGTGGAGAGATAGGGATAAAAAAAAAAAAGAGATCCAGCATCAAGGGACGTCCATTTCGTTGACCGGGGCAACGTTTTACCGTGGGTCGCGATCCACGCGATCCCCGCCGCCCCCCCTCCTCCCACCGTCCCTTGATCTCGTTAGCCATTGAAGGAGAAAGCCCAAATAACACACCAGACCTCAAAACTCTCAAAGCTCTCTCCTTTCTCTCTCGCAGAACTACAGAAGTTTGAAAAAGGGGGAAAACGAGAAGCAAAGTGAACCTCGCACGGTCGCGCCTAGAGATAGAGAGAGAGAGAGGGAGAGGGAGGGAGGGAAACCCTAGTGGGGGGGCGCGCGGGGGGGTGTGTGGCCCATGATCACGTGCTCTCGGACCTGTTGCGGCGAGCGAGGGCCACCATGATCAACTCAGCGAACGGGATGGCGTCGTCGGCGCAGGCACCGTCCTCGTCGTCGTCGGCGAACGCGCCGCCGCCGGGCCTCAAGACCTATTTCAAGACGCCGGAGGGGCGGTACAAGCTCCAGTATGAGAAGGGCCACCCCTCCGGCCTGATGCACTATGTCCAGGGCAAGACCGTCACTCAGGTCCTTCTCCCGATTCTTTTCTGCTGCAGCCCCCCTCCTCCTCTTTTCCTCTTCGTTTGTTTCGGCGCAATGCTTCTCGGCGAAGTCAACCCTTTTCTGGGGGCGGGTCGATTGTTCAATCCCGATCGGAGCCGATTGGGTGTCGGGGTAGATGTCGCGGGTTCGTGTTGGATTCGATGTTAGGGCTGGCGGTTTCTGAATGATTGCGAAGTATCGGTCGCTCGCTCGCTCGCGGGGTGATTCTTTTGTGATATTGATTTTCGAGGATTCGTCTCATTGTGCTGTTTCTGATGCGATTCCTTGACTCCGGCTAATGCTTGATTCTGATGGAGGTCAAAGCGATACCGACGAGGCTTTCCTTTGGGCATTTCGGTTCTCGTTTATCGTCAATCTTATCTAACCAATTCATGGGCTTCTTTCCGGTTGGTTTCATATCTAGAGTTTCCACACGATAATCGTATCGCAGGGCCATCTGTTTCGGGTGGATTCGTACTTTTTTACAATTCTTCCTGTCTGTGAAAGCTTTGGTAAGTCGTGGATGCTTAATGGTAGGGTATGATTTGAACTTGATTGTCAGGCAACTCTAGCTCATCTGAAGGACAGGCCGTCCCCGCCAACTCCACCAGCTCAATCGTCGTCTAGCTTTAGTGCCAGCAGTGGTGTGCGATCAGCTGCTGCGAGGCTGTTGGGTGGCAGCAATGGGAGCCGTGCTCTAAGCTTTGTGGGAGGAAATGGTGGGAGTAAGAGTGTCAGTGCAGGTAGTAGACTCGGTTCGTTGGGTGCTTCAAGTTCGAGTAATTCGACTTCGACTTCAAATTTTGACGGTAGAGGGACTTACTTGATCTTCAATATGGGAGACGGAATTTTTATAAGTGATTTGAATTCTCAAGACAAGGTAAGTTTTACTGAGTGGGGATTCGATAAGTTAAACAATGAGAAGCTTCAGTTGGTAATCAAGAGGTTAATTTATATCATAGGAACCTATGAAGGCCATCTACTTTAACAACGTCTATCCGGTTTGCCATGCGTTTGACCAGGATGCTAAGGAAGGGCATGATTTGGTCATTGGTTTGAGTACTGGTGATGGTATATTTCTGCATCTAGAGCTAACTTTCATGTTGTTTGAAAACTTTTAACACAAAAGCTCAGTCTGCTTTTCTCATTTTATTCTAGTATATTCTGTGTCACTGAGACAACAATTACAAGACAGTGGAAAGAAGCTTATCGGGGCTCAGCATTATAACAAAGATGGTTCAGTTAATAGCAGGTAGTGTAAATTATAATTTCCACATAAGATGGTGCAATTTTGTGTCAGAGTGCTTTGCATTTTAGTCTACATATTCCTTTCCTCCATTTAAGGATCAGCCCGCCACCGCCTACAAACTGTCAACTTCTTTTGCTGTATCTAAACTGATCAAGATATAAATGTTACTTCATTTTTCGGATATCTAAAATTTAGTAGGAATACATACACATGGACATATAAAATCTAGAATCCTTTCGTTGGGTGGGGCATGTGTCTTCCAGGTTCCCTCATCTTTGTGATTAGATGATGTTTTGATTGTTCAATGTTTGGCTTTTGAATGGGATAAGTTGTATGAGATTTTAGAGTTTCAAGAGGTCTTAAATGTTGTAGAGTTGCTTTGGAGAGGACTCATCCATGTATTGTTTTGCAGTTCTAGTTATAGGATCTTTATTGGATGGCAATAAGAAATATTTCATGAACTCCTACCTTTACATATCTTAATAAGTTAAGCAAATTTGTGCTTGAAGGTAGACTTTAACTGATAGAACATGATGATTGTTGCAATAAAATTTTCGAAGAAAAGTTGGGGTGGGCTTTTTTCCCCCTTGTGCAAGAAAGTGGGGCAGGTACTCTTGTGGTATGCAGTAACTCATTCCAAATCCGTTAACGTTGCATGGCTTCAGGGCTGCCCTGGCT